AGGTCATTCACAAACCCCTCTTTTAAAAGCCATAAACAAAAAAAAAAAAAAAAAACGCCTCGTGATAATTGAAATTGTGAGTAGAACACACACCGGAGTCCCAACAAACCTGGTACACTCAGTCCATCCATCCTCTTGTGTCTATCTGTGCAGAGCCGAGCTCGTTTGAGGTGTCTCCGGGTGCCTGGCAGGCAGAGGAGGCATCTGAGAGCGCCGCAAACCAAGCAAGTAACCTATCCATCCAATGGAATAGGAACCCACTGTATCAAACACACTACCCCAAAGCGCCCACACCGAAGGACACTTCACTCCTACCTAGACACATAGGAACAGCCATCATGTCCCACCACTCTCCCTCATGCACCGCACTGCATCGCATCTCCATTCGAGGGCATACGACATATTATTTGAGTCCCATATCCGTAATCTCAATGGCATCGGCCGACCCCATATAGAGGACGTTGTTGCATCTATGCGGGGGAAAAGAAAGAGAGTTAGCCAAACCAGAATCAGAAGTATCCAGCTCGATGCCGGGCCGATTGAAGTGCGCATCACATACCTGATCATAACAAGACCCAATGAGCCGGTGGGCTTTCCGTCCATGAATTCTTGGGTGTCGCGCAGCAGGAGGTTCATGTATGAATCGATGCTCTCGAGGGTACCCTTGTATTCGGTCTGGCCCCACTTCAGGCGGATGAAGACTTCAGTGCCCACGCTGTAGAGATATGTAGGTTAGCAAGCTGTTTTAAGAGCAACGACTCATATATGTGCATGTCTCGAGAGATAGATATGCTGCTTGGGGGCTGCTTGATGGGGTCCGGGGTGGGTTGGAGCGGGTCGCATACCGAGCCTGGAGGAAGGGACGGGGGTTAAGCGGTTGGAACTGCAAAAGTGAGAGTTAGCAATTAGTCCTCTGGGAATAGCGCACAGGTTCAGGTGCTGATGAGCGGGATCTCGAGCTTGATGGCGGGCTGAGCCTGAGGGGGGAAAGACGTACACTCATTGTGACTCGAGATGAGTTTCTGGTTGGTTAGGGTGGAGTGGGATTTGAGGATATGATGACAATAAAAGCTCAAGCAAGATCTATCACTCCGTTGGTTAATCGTGCTGGTCGTGTTGTTAACTGCGTGGGCATCGGAGTCGGCGAGATCGCGAAAATGTGAGGTGAATAGGCGGTGGTCAATGGCCAATCAGCGCCCGTATTGCTTCACCGCCTTCAAGGTCTCGTATAGTGGGCATAGCGCTTGGATTGAGACCATGGGGTTTGCTGGAGGTAAATACCCCGAATTCACTCCCTGGATGTACGATAAAAGGAGAAAATTATTTCTGTGGCTCGTTTTAGTTTTCTCATCATTGATATATCTCCCATTTTCAGCATGCTCCGTGCCTCCATTCCTATCACACCTTCCAAGGCTAAGCTCACCAACAGACACCAATAATAATACAACGGAAAATTATAATCAAAATTCATCAGAGTTTCATAGATTCAGACTCCTGAAAATCATCATCGTCAAGTAGATCTTAACGGCCAACAGTCCAGGTAATTTCCTTGATGCTGACTTCCTCTCCCTTCTTCTCGTCGTAGTCGTACCACTCACCCTCTAAAAGGTCAATGCCAGAGAAGGTGGTGGTGGACTCAACAGCCTTGGCTTCCCATTCGCCCTGGATTGTCTTCATCAGTACATACAATTACCTAGGTAAGTCTGCACAGAGTGTGGGATTTGCTCACATCGGGTTTGAACTCAATGAACTCGAGGCCACGGCAGTCCATTTCAATGATCTTCTGGGCGTTTTGCTTTTCCTGAGCCTCATAGGGCTTAGGCCCGCTAATGATGGAGGCAGTGTGGGTTTTCTATGTAGTCGTTAGCCATGTAATCATAAAAGTTGTGGAGGCCCAAAGGATCGATGCCAACAAAGCGGAGTGCAACGGAAATGAAAACAACTCGCAATGAAGGTGAAAATGAATCATTCTCAGTCTATCATATTGGGGGAAAAAAATAGGTTGCTTACCGTGCATAGTCGGCACTTCCACACGAAATTAGCCTCGCCGCGGCTACCGGGGATTTCGTGCGTCTCCTATAGATCAATCTAGTTAGTAAACCCTTCAATCGTGACAAAATGGGGAGTAAGATTTAAGCAATCCAACGTACAAAACGATTGAAGCTGACCCAGTTGGGGTGTGTCTCATGGCAGGAGGTACATTGCACTCGGAAAGTGTAGAAGTAGGGGTTTTCCTCAGTGTCTGTAGGCAGGAGAGCAGTAACGCTGTATCATCATATCAGTTAGCTGTCTCTTTCATAATAGTGGCCGAAAGGATCTGCCCGCGCAGTGTGTTCCTGAAATTGGAGTGCAGTGCGGGGAGATGCAGGCACACCTGCAAAGGCTCAATAATCGAACACCTAAGGTAGGAAGCACTTACCCCTCCAGCTGAGCTTCGACGGAAAGAGTGAGCATTTTTGGCTTTCAAGGTTAAGTGGGTGATCTTGATCTCAAGGTATGATGGCTGAAGTCAAGATCTTTCTGCAGGTGATGCGGGGTGGAGATGGAAAATACTTAACGTAGATCGAGGCTTGGCATGTGACCACTGTATAAACATTGATATTTTCTCAAGAATATGGAATATAAATGATAAGAAGTATGAAGAGGAGCTTGGGTAGGAATTGAAAATTTATTCATATTCTATTTATATGGGAATTGAAAATAAACGCCGGTCATGCTCAAGCTATCACTCGCAACGAACGAACCAAACAAGCTATATACATCTCGAAGGTAAAATACAGACTCATAAATACGTCAAAATTCTCACAGGCGGCTCTGTTGAGACTCCTGGCCCAGCGGCTTTGTCGAGAACGCGTTGAAAAACTCGTTGAGAGCGTCAACAGTGCCACTTCCCTCAACCAGCTGCACGGTGCAGGCAACGTGGCTGTCGGGGCGGGTCACAACAACACCACCCTTCTCAGCATCAAAGCCTAGTTTCTCGTGGGCCGCAAATTGAGCCTGAGGAACACGCACATCGGGAATATCATCCGCATAGAGGTGGTGGTGGTAGTCGCGCAGGACCTGGGGGATGGAGTCTACATCGATGGTGTTCTTGGCGCCTGCGTAAATCACAGAAAGGGTGAAGAGTTTGGAGTGAGGGTTGTGGCGCTCGAAGAATGAGACATCGGCAATGTCAGACCGGCGGTACGTCGAGAGGAACGAGCGCTCCTTCTCTAGGTTGGCAGCAAGGTCGATAATGGCCTTCTTGGTCTTGGACTGGGTGCCAGCGAAGACGAAGATGCGGAATGCACCGTTAGCGGGCACTTCCTGCTCGAGCTCGACAAAGTTGGAATCTGCAAGGCGGGTGACGGTAGTCGGGGTGAAAGCGCGACCCGGAGTCAGATGAACGCCGGGGACCTTGAACAGAGCGGACTTGGCAGGGTGGCTCGCATCCCAGGTGAAAATGTTTGGCTGGTAGGCCACTCCGTATCCACTGGTAAACTCGCAAGATGACTTGAAGGTCTTGACGAATTCGTCCTCCTCCCCACCGGCACCCACAGTGGTGTGGCTGGCAGAACCAACCTCGCCAGCAGAAGGACGGCGCTTGGAGAAGAGGGCTGCGTACTTGGAATCGAAGTTCAACAAGGTCTCAGCGATATCCTTGCGCTCGCTCTCGTAGGTGCCGAGAATAGACCGGTTGGCAAAACCACTCTCTACGGCGTGGATCTTCCAGGCCATGTTGAGTGCATCATGGAAAGCAGTGTTCATTCCCTGGCCCGCCTTGGGCTGTAGGTGTGTTAGCGATATTTCCAGAAGCACAGGGATTTCAAAGGAGAGCACTGACGCTGTGAGTGTGGCAGGCATCACCACCCATGAAGACTCGCTCGTCAAGGGTGTACTTTTCAGCGATACCTTGCCCAATGGGATAGACAGAGTACCACTCAACCCGGTCCCACTCAATCCAATATGGCTTCAAAATGTTCTTCGCGGTCTGCTGGACCTCCTCGACGGTGGCGGTCTTTCGGGGGTTCCAATCGGCGTCGGTGGAGGAGGCAATCTGGACATAGAGGCGGACCATGTTGTCTTCGCGGGGAATGACCATGATTGAGCCAGCGTCCGAGTGGATGGTGCATTTTGTCTAAAGATCGATGCGTTAGAAAGACTCGTGAGAATATCTTTTCAGCCATGCTTACCTCAATGTCGGGGAAGTTGGTGCGCACGACACCGTCCATGACACCCCAGACATAAGCAATAGGATCCTTGTGGTGGATCTTGATATCAAGCTGCTCACGAACGAAGCTGCGGGCACCCTCACCACTGAACAAGTACTTGGCGCGTACATTCTCGATGACGTTGGTATCCAGACACTTCAGGTTAACCTCAACAGGGTAATCAGCGTTGGCACCATCGTTCTTGAAGCCAACGATGGTCCATGGCCGCTCCACAGTTGTGCCGGCCTTCTTAATTTCATCTAAGAACACGCGCTCGATCTTACCCTGGTGGACCAAGGTGGTGAAAGGGTAGCGGGTGTCAATGAAACGGGGGCAACTAGGCCAGCTGCCAGTGCGGCCGATGCCAGAGCCGTCACCCTTGGGATCCCAGAAGGCAACGTCATAGACCTTAGCAGGCTCGTAAGCCATGATGGAGCGCTTCAAACCAAGGTTGCGCAGGATCTCGGTAGATCGCGGCTGGATACCGTCGGCGCGACCAGTAGCGGTCGGCACTGGGCGGTTGTCGATGTGCTTCACCTTGTAACCCCATCGTGACATACACAGGGACAAGAGCAGACCGACGGGGCCGGCGCCCACAATGACAATATCATAATTTTCTTGTTGGACCATGCTGGCGGCCAAAAGCAAACACAGGGATCAAAGTTGGGGTGGAGGTATGAATGGTATGGGGAATGGAGATATAATCAGGATAAATAATTGGACATATGACTTAAAAGAAGAGTAGAATAGATATCAGAGTGTTACCCTGCACGATGACCGAAGGGAAATAAATGGGGGCCATGACTGTCTCTATATACTGTCTGGGAACTGGGGTAAGTGGGACGGATTGTTCAACTGAAGCAACGGAGAACATCCACGGCATTCAGAGTCGGTGGAATCATGGGGAGCACCGGTCCGAGGGTTGGGATATCCAATCAGATTCACCATAAAGGAAGTTATGGACGATTTGTCATCGAAGAAGCAAGCACTCGTGTGTGGGGGGTTAAGACTGGCTGTGCACAAAGTCCCAAGTCCATAATGTACCGTCGTTGATCCCGAGAATGCAGCCGCAGGGCTCCAGTCTGACTGGGTTGCTCCTCTTTTCCTCTGCTCCACCCGGAAACGATCTCGGTAAGCGGATGGCTGGACACGTGACCCCTCCTCGGCAACCCTGCCCGGGATCTATGTTGTAGGTATACTATCTCTAGATACTGCTATGTTACCTACAACATCCATACCTCGTACTTCATACTACCATTACCATTGTTATCTAGACATAGAAATGGCTAACGGACTACCATCTCCAACATTATTGGCTACATGATCAATTTTTTCCCTTCCAAGGTTATTCCGTTCTGCCGAGATTACTGAACTTCTACCGCCTCATCCACCGGATTAGGTCCCGTGCCGTCATGGTAGTTTAACCTGGTACTTGCACTGCGGGTAACCCGAAATTCCGTGTCATGCTCTATAGGAAATATCCATGAGGTCTAGCACCTATGGTCCATGGCAAATGAGTCGGTTCCATCCCTCTTTTGAAGAAAAGAACCCCAACCTCAAGAAGCATAGCTACATGGTCATAATAATAGCACTCAGATGGTTCGACTCTAATTATAAGGTTATACAACCAATGTAGCGGTTTTAATGACCCATATTTCCTTAGGTTGAATTTGCCAGGCACCCCAACAGTTTAATCTTAAAGCTCTTGGTATAGCAGTAGCATGAAAATATTGACACCTGGGGCAACAATAATAAAATAGGGTGTCGGGTACAAGTTTACCCGTTCCGAACTATACCCATAAACCTTAAATGGAAATATATCAACACTAAACATACAATTTCTATTCGTAAGTTATGCACAATAAGTGGGATTTGGACAATTATATTTAAACTACCATCTCTTGTAAACAGCACATTAACAGGTATGCACATGGGGTGAGTATGTAAGAGCGTTTTGCAAGATTTTGCAATGTCCTTACTATTAGTGTGGTGGGTGGTGATAACATATAAAATGCATTGTAATAATCCTGAGCTCATAAGATTAACGGGGATTTTATATTTTTGCTTTGTAATGATCCTTATAGGTACGGTGGGTGGGTATCAATGATTTGTGTCATTGCAATACACATATCCAGGTAGTCCAGCTCAAACCCCGTGCGTGTTATGGTGCGTGGTATGGACCATGTGCTGTCACATCACGTCGTCTTTTTAGAGTTGACGGACCGTGTAATGAACGGGCATGTGATTGGCCTATCAATAAGCTCCTTAATTAGGAATAGTCAATTATTCTATTCTCCGTTTGTTCATTGTTTGTTCCCAGAATTTTCTTTGTTCCAATATTCCAATATTCCAATATTTTATTTTCTTTGTTCCCATCTTCTTTGTTTCTATTGTTTTTTTGAGACATTGACAGCCACATTATTGGACTAATCCTATTGTTGCAGACCACATGGTCACAGCATATACTCTTCTCGGTCTCAACAATGACCTCGACTTTTCTACTATGCTGTATTCGGCAATCATCAATAACAATTAAATGGCTATTGTAGCAAGGCATTGTAGCCCTTGGTTCCCACGACAGTGATGTATAAATATTCTCTTCCTCTAGCCCTTTTCCTTCTTGCTTCCCATACTTCCTCATACCTTTTATGCTTCTGTTTCTCATACTTCCACATTTCTTTTCTGCAATTACAAATTTACCTTTGAACAATACCTCGAATTGAAACCGTAAACGCAACAATGTCTCAATATCCACCAGTCCGTCCCTGGGCAACACTCAGCACCATTGACCGGGGAGACCAGCCATTGTTCATCTACGAAGACAAACGCCATGAATGGCTTGGACAGCATCCATATGTTCATCCTCAGACCGCAAAGAAGAGTCGCAACAAGACTCTACGTGCCTTCGCAGATCGGGGTCCCAGCATGGCTGAAGGCCTTCGTGATATTGCGGAACGCGGTGCAGCTCGTCGCAATGGAACTCCTGCGAACAAGAATGATCTGTAAGGACCATCCTTACTGAAACTTGTTGAACATGAAATCTAATATGATGAACAGATCTACCAAGCCATTGCCGCCAATTCCTCAACAGAAAGAACATCAGCCAGCCACCACAGTTGGTCAGGATGGTGTTCTCCAAGGTTCTGGCCCCGATATCAACAAGATGAGCATCTACTATGTTCTTGACAGATCCAATATGGAAGGCCATCACGAACCCTCATTTGCTCAACAAATGGATTCTCAAGCTGCTACCGAAGTTTACCAGAAGGCAGTTGTTGATGGGCCTGTGCACTCGACTGAAAAGACGAACCTGAATTTGCTTCTCGAAGAATGCAAGCTTGAAGGATTCGATGATGAGACTCCATCCATTCAGCCCAAAGACTACCATAACGTGCATGCCTCCCACGCCAATCATTCCCCTGATTCCCATCGCTTGGATCATGCTACTCCATGTGCTGCTCCTGCCTTTGAGGTCCCTTATGCTCAAGCCGATTCACGACCTCATCACGACGGTTATCCAACCTCGTGGTACGGTTATACTCCAACCTCGTGGAACGAAGCCTCACCCACCGACCACAAATTCTCTTCGCATTCTCACATTGCGGTGGTACCCAGCCATACTCCAGTTCCCGAGATCAAGCAAGAGTATCAATCTCCCGAACCGGGCGCAACCTCGTGGTACGGTTATGCTCCAAACTCGCGGGACGAAGCCTCACCCACCGAGCACAAATTCTCTCCGCATTCTCCAATTGCGATGGTACCCAGTAATACTCCAGTTTCCGAAATCAAGCAAGAAAATCCATCCACCGAAGTGGGCGCACCCTTTGAGGAGCTGATTGCAATGATCAACGAGACAAAGGAAAAATATCGCCTTTCAAGTGAAGATCACAACCCAGGAAGCTCGGATTCTGCTTGCCGTTTGGCTCCTCCCAATTCAGAGTCTGTGGATATCTACTATGTGGACGGACCCTCTGGCCCTGGTTTCCAGACTCGTGACCCCTTCATTCGTAATGATGAGGGTCCTGTGTTTATGAGCCCCAACACAATTCGCAAAGTGGCGCCCACAGCGCCTGTTTGGTCCCCGACTCCTGATCCTCGCCCCAACCTGGGAATTTCATATGCTGATTACCGTCTCGCTCACCCTGATTCAAGTCCTTTATTTGTGAGCCCCGGACCCAGCCACGAAACTACACCTACAACACCTGGGTCGTCCTCGCCCTATGTCCCATACTCTTGTGAAGGATGTTGCTATTGGACTGACGATGAATCCGAATCCGATTCGGATTGCGAACCTGAAACTGCATTTGCTGAGCCCCAGTTCCATGACGAAAGTTCTGCTTCCAATGTACCACTACAAGAGCCACCTGTGTTGTATTCGTCTGCCCCCCAGGCCACTTCTCTCCGAGGAGATTCCACTTGGCGTCGGGACACCTTCGATGGGATTGATACTGGCATGATTTTGCCCCTTGAACAGATGTATGCTCGGGACTACACTACTCCTGATTCGCCTCTACAGGAGTCACCCACATCCCCTACTCCAGCTCCCCCATCACCAGAGCGTCCAATTCGTCTCCCTGGACTTTGCTACACTGGTGCGCCTCGGGTTGGAATTTATCCATCTGATATCCCCCTCGATCCCCGGCTTACGGATGTTCAATTCCGCCCGAGCTACTTTTCAAGACGGTTGAGCGAGGAGCGAACCAACATGGACAATGGCCAGCCTTCTCTTGTCCAGCAGCAATTGAACGTGACTAAGAAGAAACCCGCATTCATGATGGATGTCCCCATCCAGGACGTTTCCCAGCATCAGACAGCCATTCACGTTTCCGAGTCTGTCAGTGACGGACACAGCCGCGCAGCTTCCTTCATCAATCGTGAATCTCACATCAACAACATCTCCGGCAACGCAACTTCCACCCGTATCACCGAAAGCCCCGATGGCTACAGTTCCTCAGGCTCCGAAGGTTCTCGTGGCAAGCGCAAGAGATTCACCAAGAACCTCTTCGGCAAGAACGGATACCTTGAAGACAACGAGAGCCCACGCAACAAGAGATTCCGCTTCCTCAAGGGGGCCGTCAAAAAGGGACATTCAACCATCAAGGGAATGGTAAGTATTTCATGGCTTGGCTTTTGAAAAATGGTATAGTGACTAACAATTGTTTTGACAGTTTTGGGACGATGACCGAGCGTTGATCAGCGCATCCAAGCCCAGCATCGTCACCGAGAATACTGCAACCATTACTCTGAACCCTGATGTGCAGTCGATCCTGTACGCCGAGATTGAGAACATGATCACCCAAGCAGCCAATGAATTCCTCATGAAGGAATATTACGACGGCCACCTCACCATTAGTTCTCTCAACAAGCTGAAGAGAACCTGGGAGAGCAAGAACATGCCTGGTGTCCCTCAATTCCGCTTCGACCAATTTACCCAGTACAAGCTGATCAGTGAAAACCGCGATCATCTCGGTTTCGGCGACACCGGCGACAACAACCTTACTCCGGCCATCATTCTGAGAAACTGGAAGGGGATTTGCAAGCACATGAGCATCCGCACCTTTGTGGCCCCCGACTCAGTCGTCAAGAAGGATCTTCACGATATCCTGTACCTCTTGCGCCTCTTGAATGCCGAGAGATGCCACATTGAGCTCATTATGGCCCTCAATGCGCATGTTCGTGGAGAGCTGGAGAAGCACGAGGTGATGAGGCGCTACCGAGACACTCAGAACTCTGGAAGCTCTCGCTCTTAACTTTGCCTTGAATCGTTTTAACTTGACTCTTGTTTTATTTTTCTATCCAACAATTCTTGTCTCGCTTTCTTTTCTCCCACTTTGCTGTTCTGTTTCGGCTGGCTTTTCTAAGACTTCGCCGATATCAGTTCGCACTGTGCCGGTTTCAATTTCTGCTTTTTTTGTTTTGTTTTTTTTTTTTACTACTTGCTATTCTGTTTCGACTTTTTCATTCTTGGACTTGGTCGGGATCAGATTTGCATCTTGCCAGTTTGGCTTTCTGCGATTTTTCGTTTGCGGCTTTCCATTCTGTTTGTGTTTTTTTATGCGCGTTTTGCCAGCGATGAGTTTGTCAACTAGTTCAGTCTAGCATACTCCAAATCCAACTCATCCCAAATAAGTTCTTTACCTTTCCTAATAGACAAATGAAGTAAACATCAAAGATGTATTGTTAACTATGTGCTCTTCTACACGGATTGGGATGGGATATCATATGCAATGTTGTATTGCCATACTGAATCTTCATCTTAAACCCTTCTAGCCTTCATACATCGGCTACTACTACTTTTATCAACAAGAGTATACTATCAATCGACACACCGCCAAGAGCACCAACCACAACTTCAGATAGTTCTTCGTTTTCGGGTGGTACAATTGCGGGAATTGTGATTGAATGAATTGTGGCGGTCGCTCTAGTCGACGTATAAATGTTGGGGCGAAGGTTTGGCCCCAATTGCGGTTTATGGCGAAGTCTACGAGAGAATATATAATAGGTAAGGGATCTACGCCTAATAGAAGAAAGAATAGAACGAGTCGAGTACCGGCGCCTATCTACGTTAGATCGACGATATACTACCGGCTAAGTATACTAGACGGCTCTACGGCTCTCTACCTAGAAATCGAGCGTATTTATTAACGTAGTTACGAACCGGATACTACTAGTTATTAATATACGTAAAGGCTTTCCAATTCCGAGACGACTATCTATACGTCTATAATAAACAGGAAAGTGTTTATTACGTATTATTAGATTATTCACGATTAAGAGAACTAAGGAGGGAGCTACGACTTAAGGTTAGTGATACGTTTAATAGTATATTAATACTGTTAGGGGGATTAGGAGAAGACGGAAGAGGTAAAATTAATAGTGTTTTACGAACTAAGACAGTAGAGGCTGTCTTAGACTTTGCCGAAGCATCGCAACGGTTTCAAAGTCGCGCGCTATAAGGGCAACGCAAACATAACAACGGCATAGAGGCCACAGTAGGCCTCGGCGAGGCTCTAAGTTCGCTTAGGAAGTGGTATACGATACATATATATAGGAAGATATATATAGTAGTGGTAGGCTGCATATCGTTCGACGAGAGGTCAGCATAAATGAATTACACACACACACACACTATACTCAAAGGTGCAATCGATTTTTAAGAATCTCCCGGGTCCCGGGCCCTAAAAGGGAAGCAGACATGAAGAGTGCTAAGCCGATAAGCCCGCGACGCCCGCCACGTCGCTCCGTCAGATTTCGAAATCTACGCCAGATACGAGACTGAGATTCAATGCTTTTGGGGGTTCCAATCTGAAGCAAGAACATCACATAGCAAATCAAGCGACGCAAAACTGTTGGGCGGTGTCAAGGAGGTACAGGATGGATCAGAGACATTTTCACCTTATAAAGTACTAATGTACATGTAGCTAGTTGATGAATGGCGTGTCATATTCGAAATAGCAGATATAAGGACCTTTGAAGATACGTATTCGTTACTGTAACCCACCGCTAGTTTTCAAATAACTAATTTCTCCCAACCTACCACACTCTCTAATTCATCACTCTCTAATTCATCACTCTCCCTCGATTCATCACTCTCCCTCAATTCATCAATTCATCACTTTCTCACAACCTAGTACTTTATCTCTATTCATCGGTTACGCGCCCCAGACATAGAACGTGGTACGCTCAAAATCAAGAATATGCGTAAGTGATCGGAATTTACCTATCTCTCTGATCGTCTATCAGACGAAGTCAATTCATCAAATTTGTATTAATTGTGGTGAAGGCCTCTACTGCTGTACAGTATCGTACTGTACAAAGTCCGCCGGAGAAGTAAATATCACGGAGTTATGTCCTTCCCTCCTATCTTCGACGAATATGAATACGTGACATTTGAGGTCGAAGGTCTCGACCTAAAATGGGTCGTCGGAAGACTACTACTAGTATATATATATCGCCTTATTTGAGGGCGTCTCGGCACGTTAGTGCTTTAATGCTCACGTATTTCTTCTCAGCCGGAGATCTGCCAAGCTAAGTGCGGCTTTTTAAAAATACGGCTAGAGGCTACGTTAGATATCATTTAACATAGGGGGATGCAAACTATGGGAAGAGTATGACCCAAAAATTTTCATATAGAGTAAGTACTATTGGTAATGATTCTCATATGCATTCTCACCTCCATTGGCTACGTTTTAGTTTGAGTAAGACTGATCCTAATCACCACAAGCACCGAGAATGGCTACGGCACCGAAACTACGTGAGCACGGACGTGGAGCTAGTTATTGTGGGTGACATACATGCCGTGGATGTTGATATTTGGCTAACAAACGTCGTGGTGGAACGCGGAGGCGAAATCGCTCTAGAAACTTCCTCGGGCGATACGTAGGGATGCGGTATCTTTAAGCATGACTCCAATCGATCGGTATGTATTCCATCAACCGCGAACGCGAAACAATAGCTGACGTTTGGAAAATTGAAATAGGCCAAAGGAGAAGTTCCATGAGCTCAACTACGTCCATTTCGGACCGCAGTTTCAAAACTATGTCTCGTTGCCTATCATTCCGCCAAAGGATGGTGAATAGCGAGTTAGATTAGATTTACAGAGATGTATATATAGCATGTCGGAAACCATATTCTATACAGAAGAGGAATTGCATGTGCTGATATACTTTCGACTATTGGCAAGAGACTCAAAACTCGCCGCCCAGCTTGTATGTAAACAAATTTTCAGAGAGTCGCCCCCCCGGTGACCTTCCACAAGCGGTTTGCAATCTGTCCCAATCAGCAAGCATAAAAATCTCAGGCGTCTGTGCACAAGCAGGCATCACTCACCACATTCATTTCCAATCCGGTAAACATTGCGGTCAAAAATGCTCGCTCTCCAAGACTTGTGTACACCCTTCGCTGGCTTTGGTCGAGATGCCGATTAATCGGCCGGTGCGGTGGGATACGGCGATAGTCATCTGGCCATCCGGGAGGGTTATGTGCTCTAGTTTCTCCAGCAGCGGCTTCGCTCCCAGCCTGCTGCGAGGGAGAACTCGAGGCAGCCACATTGGACTCGTATACGTCGTAGTCTGCTGGGTATCCCCGCACCCGAAGTCGGGCAGTGCGAATATGGGTAGCGGTAGCGGTGGTGGAGGTTGAGGCGGATGAAAACATGTTAAAAGGCTGTTTTGTCCCTAAGGTAAAAACAGCTACAAAGCAAATGTGATATAAATGGCTAGACGGAGACGGAGACGGAGACCAAGATGCACCCCGGCGTCGGGAATGTGGCCCGCCTCTTCCCGAGGGAACATCACACCCCACGTCCAAGAACAGGGGGTCAAGGGATATCAGAGGATTTAAAGCTCGTATCTTTGACCTTGAACTAATTTTCTCATTCGTTCAATCATTCGCCATGGCTGCCTCCCTTCAAGCTGTTCGTGAGGCTGCCCTCGATGGCCGCATGCACAACATACTCACTCGCCGAACCCAGCTGGAGGCCCTTCAGCAGGCGCTGCTTGACAAAGCAGACACCATTCAGGGGGCCATTCGCGCAGACACTGATTGTGCCGCCCCCGAGGCCGCCGTGGAGTATCTCCTCACACTGAACACCTTAAAGGAATACCATCAGTCTTTGAACATCGATGGCGCACACCAGGATGAGTATGCCATTGCAAGAGGGGAGGATGCTGCCAGCCGACGAGAACCCGTGGGAATTGTATACATTGTTCCGACGAGCTATACAGTCTTCTACTCGGTCCTAGTCGCTGTCGCTGGCGCGCTTACTGCTGGTAACTGCACCGTTATTGAAGTATGCGACACTCTAGACAGTCAAAGAATAGACCTTGCTAATGCTCTCATCTACAAAGCTGCCCATCTCTACACAAGCCCTTCCCGTGTTGATAAAGAACCTCCTGGAGTCGTCACTTGATCGCAGTACTATCGCATTCGTCCCGACTCCAGCAACGAACGAGGATCTCGGACCACAACATATGCGGCTTCATCAAGACGATCACTTACCCGGTAAGGTAGTGGCTGTTGTGGATCGCACAGCAAATATCAATCACGCAGCTGAAGCACTCGTAGCAGCCCAGTTCAGCTTCGGTGGCCGGTCGCCCTACGCACCCGACATAGTCCTTGTCAATGAATACATCAAGGAGCAGTTTCTGATAGCCTTGGTGCGGGCGAGTGTGTCATTTCCGCCGAGCGCGAGTGCAATACAAGGAGACGAGAGACGGCCGGAAAAAGACCACCAAGAGGAAAGAGGGGGATTACGGGTCGTATCGTCCCTGGGAAGGGGCAAAATTGTGGAAGCAGACCAACTGTATAGCTATCACTCTTCCCAGACTTGACGACTTCTGCTAATAAAAATGGGGAAATAGAGATCCCAAGACGCTGCCAGATAAGCCTACTGACGCCCGGTTGCTGGTGCACACTGTGCGCTCGTTGGATCATGCCATCGATTTGTCAAATATGTGAGTGAATAGTGTGATTTGATACACTAATGACTGACTGGCATACTAGGGTCGAAAACCTTCAAGGGGCATACGTCTTTGCTCACGAGAAGTCTGCCAAATATTTGACGCAGTTCATCAACGCGCATGTCTCGTTTGTCAACCACATCCCTGTGGAAGTCCTGGGTAAGGGGATCGCAATTAAAGCTTTTTGTTTAAATGATATTTACAGCGCTAATATAATTCTATCCCTTCTAGTGGGACCCACTGCCCCTAAACAAGTGGCCTTGGATCGCTCAGTGAGATACCCCACCACGGTCTTCTCCGTTCCTCGGCCACATTATATCCGCCCTACCCGGCTGTCGCAGTCAGTCACGGATATTCTAAGTACAAAATCAGCCTCAGCCTTGCAGAATATGCTGGTCTTGCAGTCGAGTCAACTGGTCTGCCGAACTCGGCGGCCCTTGGGTGGAGGCGTAGGGTTCTTTGAGCAAGGCATTCTGACAGGGCTGGGGTTGTTCTCGATCTCGATTCTCGCAGGAGTGAGTTCTCTGGGCTATTGGGCGTGGACTATGGTAGAAAAGCATGAATTTCGCATGTGACATTCTATGGTAGTAGTCATTGCTTTTTGCGGACAATCAATATGCATAGTGATAGTGATATTTATTCAATGTTTATCTGCCGGGACCATGTAGTCACCTCGAGTAGCTCATGAACAGTGTGCACAATATTCTCCACCAGAGGGGGTTCATGGGCATCAGGGCCGCTATGATTGTGATGCATAGGGCAACGGTCAAAACTGTCGTTGAATCGCACAAGTCTACGGCGGAAACTTCAGGGGTCTCCCCGTGCAGCATTGGCTGACCTCGCCCAAAGGAGATAGACCTCTGTACATGTTCAGTTTCAGGAGAGTCAAGCCAAATGGGTACCTTCGCAGTGGCTGTGCCAGTTAGGTCTGCTACTCCCATACCATATGCCCACAGCGCCAGGGTTGAATGATACAAAGCAACGGCGGTGAAGTCGCGCAAACACTGTGGCGCCAAGGCCCGAAGGTCACGGATGATTTGGGCTGCATGCCACACAGCCTGGTGGCCTTCCTTGCTCGATGACCATGCCTCGATTGTAGGGGGAATCTGGTCTGCTGATTCAGACTGCTCAAGTGAGACCGCGAAAAGCTGAATCTCTTCGAGAGACATGTGCATATGCATCAGGGTGTTGTGCCAGTACAAGACGTTCTCATTTCTATACCCGACGCCAAAATAATCTAGCATGTCAGTGAGCTGCTGGTACCGACACGCCATCAGAAATCCGCCAGTCCAGAGTCGGGAAGGGCCAAGTATGGTGCTACTGTGGTTGTTGCTACTGTTACTGCTATCGCTAGTAAGCAAACGCATCTGTTGGTACTCCCAGATTAGACCCCATAGAGCGTGCAGTACGGCGGTGCAGGACAGCCTCATGTCTATCCCTTGGCGGTGGCTCTAAAGTAGGTCCATGTTCAACACATACTCTGTGAGAGGCGTTGGGCGTAAGACGGATTGGCCCTCAGCCTGCTGGGTGCAGAGAAGCTCTTTCCACCGTTTTGCATCAGGGGCGTTCCACAGAGCTGGACAAGCCGGAAGAGGAAGTGATAGCTCGGCGTAGGACATAACGGGGCTGGTCCGGAACACCATGGAACAATGTGCTTCGTGTTGCCATAAGTGGTAGACTAAACGCTTTATAGACTCCTCTCGGACCCAGAGCCTCCATTTATCCTCCAAGATTTGGCCCGTGTCGACCGGATGCGCGGTGATGAGCGGGTATCTGGCGGCATCAAACCGGCCCCGGCGTCGCAGCATAGTGATCAATGGGTAGCGGAAACTCTCGGAGATTTCCATCTTGCGACAGTTCGCACTGTATAAGCTGATTTTGAGGCATAGTAGAAACGTCTGATGCAGTTCAAGATCCCGGATAAGGGTGTTGTCGGCCTCGATTACGGCGGGAAGTCGATGTCGGACAACCTCCTGTATTGCAAATCCGAGCTTTCGCAACGCCGAATCGGGAGTAAGCACTGCGCCAGCCGCAGCCATGACAAGCAAGAGTTACGAGCGAGATTGCTTGGGTATAAATGTGCTTCTATGGATCCAAGCGCTTGCGCCAGAGAAGGGCACAGTTAAAAAGTACCGTATGAGACGATCCAGCAGTTCGGGAGAAGGGAACGAGGCCGCATTCAGTGAAAAGGGCAGTGGCATCTGGCTCAGTACAATGCTCAAGATTTTGTCTCGAGATGCCAGGTCGAGGCAATTGTTAGGACCGGGCCCCACGTCCAGATTCCGGAGACTCTTTAGGGGTTTATCTGGCCTGGTCTCGCCGCCGAGGAGCAAGTTACCGTGTTCAGCATAGCCATGATCTTGAGGCACAGGAACAAACCGCCATCGGAGGCGTTGCACGGACCGGTCCTCTCTCGCTGCATGATCTGCCTCGGTGGCTTCGTTCTCGGCAGCCTCCACCAACGGTGCAAGAGTGGGCGCCGTGGCCGCTTCGTACTCGAAGGGGGCACGCGCGTTGTAGGACTCGAGGAAATTAAGGTTGACCATACTAAGATCGAGATTAGTCTCTAGGCCAAAGGCGACCAGTATTCCCCGGGTAATCGGGGAGAGATTGCGCAATGAATCCTCCTGGTCTGGAGGGAGTACGGCGGAATATGCTCGCAACAACGCATCCGACGCCTCCGTCAAGTCTGCTCCTAAATCAGTCGTCCGATCTGCTGCCGGTTTGGACAGGTTGCCCTGACTCACAAATTCTATTTGATTGCTAAAGCCCAATGAGGCGCAGGGACCACCAACAGCCTGTGGCTGGTGTGCTTGTTGTGGCCGTTGTAATGGCAACAATGAATCCCCGTCATTGCCGGGAGCGTTTGCCTCTAGCCGAGTCACCGGAGTCGGTGGAGTACTCTCCACAGATCCAGTGGGTAGATTACAGCGGATCCCCTTCCGTTGACATCGACAGCAGGGCTTCTCATCATCGCAGCGGAGATGATCCTCGGCACAGCCCTCGCAGGCCTGCGACGCGCGGATTGGCGCACTATTACCCTCGGTGCCCCGTCGCTTAGTGGAGGCCGAGTCTCTATTGGGGTCATGGAGAGTTGAATGGCGAGACAATAAGTCACTGTGTACTCCACACGTCAGTTGTTGACAGGCCTTGTCTAATAACAGAGGGAATGGGCCTCTCACACGACCGAACCACTTGTTGCACACAGAGCAACGGTATGGCTTCCCTTGGGTATCTGCACGGGCGCGATCAAGTTAGCCAGCACATCGGGCAAGAGGGCCCGACAATAAACGTACGGGAGCGCACGTGGCGACCAAGATGGTCAATGCGGGTGAAAGATTGTGAACAGGTTCCACACTGGAACAGGTTTGTGGGCATGGAGGTCGGAGGAGCGTGTGAAGAAGCCATCAATGATCAAACCGGGGACATCGTATGGTCCTGTCAAGCTGAAAACAGAAGTCTGAGGATAAGGACATACTATAACTTGAAATGGTGGGGGAATGTGGTCCCGAACAAGTGGATGTCCCCATTCGGGATGTTGGGGGTATGATTACCGAATAATGGGAGTGTGTAATACGAGAGCTGTTAGAAAAGAAGCCATACACAAGCTACATTCTAACCACACACTCTAGAGTATCATCATCCCTGGCCTAACAACAATCCGCTATGTGTACGTACAGTCCCAACTTATTCTGCCTGAACTCGCTGTCTGACCTCACTGTTCAGCGCTCACACCAGTGCATTTCTTTTCCCATGGCTCGACCATGATGCTGGGGGAAGAGTCGGAGTCCGCCGACTACTGGAAGAAATGCGGCGATGAGGCTCTGGCCTATGGCATTAAGGGCGTGATTATCATGGTATGCTTCCCGCTCCCCAGCGAGACGACGTACTGATGCCGGAACAGGGTGCCCACTGGGGCTGCTCAGGAATCAACCGCCTGGAAGTTGCGATGAACCCCCATCCCACCAAGTCTCCCGTGGCGTATGTGCACCCTTCCAAGTACGTCGACTACGAGCTTGTGCCGGATCTTGACAGTGGGCGCAAGTGTATCGACCTTCTATCCGCTGAGGGCTTTGACGTGCACGCCAACGAGAGCTTGGAATGGATTCACGATACCTATCTGATTCTTATTCGCATGTTTCCTGAGCGGTGTCCACCTACAACCATCATATCCACCAACGTGCAGTATGATCCACACTTCCACATGCGCGCTGGTACAGCTCTACGGCCACTGCGAGAGCAGAACTACCTGATCATTGGAACCGGCGGTGCGGTACATAACCTGTATCGCAATGTCTGGGGGCCCATGTTGCGACATAGTGACAATTTTGCCCAGGAAACGCCACCTGAGAAATGGGCTCTAGATTTTCGTCAGGCAGTAGAAGACGCGATAGCAAACAACAGCGGGCCTGCTCTCCGCCGGGCCATGACTCGGCTCATGAAGCATCCTTATTTTCGAGACGCCCATGCCACGGATGACCACTACATGGCTGCCGTATTCGTGGCTGGGGCAGCCGGCAGCGAAGCCGATTTGGGGACAACTGGAAGGCTAATGGCAGAAACATGGGAGTTGACCAACATGTGCAATTCCCAATTCACCATCGGGCAATGGCCCAGGGCGTCACAAACAGCCGCTTAATGTACTTTCTTTTAGTGCAGCTTTTCCACAGTTAATCAGACGTCCGATTAATTATTGTTTAGATGAGAGGGCCCAGTAATAGGGGGCGGCGACCCATTATATTAAAGGCAGCATATGCTGTCTGTATGGAGAGCATAGAAAAGAACAACCTGACCCAATATGAATTCATCTGTCATCCCCCACCGGGTGTTCGTTCGGGCCAAAAAGTAATAAGAAAATTATCCCCATGTCCTCCACCTGTGTACCTCGGGACACATCTCTCTCCACCCCGCTTGTCAGTCCGGGGTTATCATATCTCACTGACCTAGCTGGGTCTTTTTAAAGAAGGCTGCCCTATCCAGACTACTCCTATTTATCTTTCTTTTCTCATATGAATCTTTCCAGCATACAACATGTCGGGCTTTCACTACGCCTTCTCACTGCCCAAATCCGCCGTCCAGCAAGCGACGCCTCCCGGGACAGTCGACCTTTATGGTACAGTCTTTCTCCTGAAGACAGCTGACTTCTCTATTTTGGCCTAAAAGCTAATTCTCATTCATCAAGGTCATGAGGAAGGACCAACATCCGAGTCAGCCCTCGGCCCTCAACTGCGTGTGTCGCCAACGCCGTCAACTTGCCCGTCCGACCCATTGAATTGGAGTCTCTGGAGAAAGGCTATGGCCCTTCTCTCTGCCTCGGTCTACTGTTTCGTAGCCAACGTTGCATCCGCTTCCCTGTCCAGCGCGTTGGCCTTTCTCGCGACGGACTTTCACCCACCAGTGCCCCAGACACACCTCAGCCACTTGATTGCCGTTTGTTAACCTATCTTCTTTGTCCCTATCTTGAGAACTACTCACAAATATCTTGGCAGGTCAACGTCTTGATGCTTGGCTGTGCCAATATCTGGTGGGTTCCTCTCTCGAACGTATTTGGTCGCCGACCCATCATCCTCGCCAGTCTGGTGATGCTCACGCTGTGCTCCGTATGGGCAGCAAAAGCCACCTCCTTCAACAGTCTTTTGGCTGCTCGGGTTTTCCAGGGCATTGCCGGTGCAGCTGCGGATACACTCTGTCCAGGTGTGATAGGCGAAATTTATTTTCGTCACCAGCGAGGAAGAGCAATGGTGAGTACCCTCCAAGAACCCGCTGTACTCTTACTTTGGAGGTCACATTAGAATGGCTAATCTGTGGACAGGCCATATACACTATCTTCCTAGTCCTAGGCCCGATTATCGGTGGTATCATCGGGAGCTATATCGCTCATGCCTGGGGATGGCGGTGGACGCAGTGGCTCAACGTTATTATCTCCGGGGTTTCACTCCTTGCGTGCTTCTTCTGCCTCCCAGAAACTATTTTTGATCGAGATGCTGCTATTTCCATGGCTGCCGCGACCCAAGATATTGGACAATCCGAGGAAGATAAGCCGACAGGATTTGACAAGCCCAATATTGAAGAGCATGAGCAGATAGACAGGTCCGTTCCGGTGCAGGCGCATGAGCCCTACACATTTGCGAGTTCTCTGAAGGTCGGACTGTATCGTGGCGGGCTATGGCAACATTTCATGGCGCCTTGGAAAACCCTTCGATTTCCCGCTGTATGGCTGGTCATGTTGCATTACGGGGGACTGGTGGGTGGTATTGTCACGATTTCCACTGTGGGCCCACAGTTTGTGTCCGCGCCTCCATATAGCTGGGGTGCAAATTCGGGCCTGATCAATATTGGCGGCTTGGTCGGCAGCATTGCTGGGGCAGCTTTCACCTTTTACCTCTCGGACCACGTCCTGAAGCGGCAGGCAATGCGCCAAACGAATGGGCTCAGTGAGCCTGAAGCCCGCCTGCCAGCCCTATTTCCGGGGCTACTTCTTGCCACGACGGGCCTCCTAACATTTGGCTTCTGCGGGAAATACAGTTCCAACCTCGGGTGGCTCGGCCTCCAATTCGGTTATGGGATGCTCACCTTCGGGGTCATGCAGATTCCTTCTATTGGGTTCAACTATGTGAGTCCGGTTTTTCTCGCCTGCCAGCAGCTACTGATTTTCGGGTACGATGTAGATTATCGAGTCCTATCCCGTGGTTGCCCATGATTGCTTTGTGATGATTACCTGTCTGCGAGCAATCGTAGCCTTCGCATGGACCTTTTTTGTTGGATCGTGGGTTGAGGCGCGTGGAGCTGCTGAGCCTTTCGGTGTATTTGGTATGTTGATGGGGTTAGCTGGGTTATTGACGCTTCCCATATATTTTTATGGTAAAAGAATCCGCATTGCGACACAGAAATGGGCTCCTGGTCAAGGCGAGTGAGTGGTGGGTGTCCGGCTGCCTGGTTTCATATTACTTCATCTATAACGCGAAATCGCGTTGCGATATTTTGGCCGTATCATCTCATTCAGGAGGATAACTGGAAAGATACATGTTAAGTCTCAGCATATGATTTCCCACATGCCTAGATTGGTAAAACCTTAACGACCTAACCTCTTTTCCTGTGTTATTGGAACTTGAAATTTTGAATATGCTTCAGACCAGCTGATAAGGCTTTCTGGGAGAAGCTCTTATCCGCTATTCATCCGTTTTGGAAACAGAACCTAGCACCAGATGGATCAGAGTATCTGCCACTACTAGAACGTCAATTACCCATACCGAAGATAAAAGCGTCGGATGAAAAAGGTAGAAATTCAGATGATTTAGGTGTGAAAATGGGGACTCCAACGCACGTAAAGTATAATAAATTCAATCAATCTATATGCCAACTTGATATCTCAATAAACGTTATACTACATGGAAATTCTTTACAATTTTGTAATTGAGATATATACATTCCTGGCTTTGATCAATGTAATGTTCAATACGATGATAATACAGCTTTTCGATAGCTTTTCGATCCTCTTGAGACGGACATATAGTGTTTAAGCGTCTTGCTGAAAAATATTGAAATGATAATGTATCAAACAACGACGTCGTTGCTAAGATATAAGTTTTTACAATATCGCATATGCTATAGTGTTTTGGGGTAGCTCAATAGGTTAACCTTGATCACTAGATATTATCACAGTCTTTATCTTCTTTAGTGGTGTTTGGTTCTTCTCTCAACCCTCGACCCGTGTATCCCTAGAGTGCACTAGCCCTCGAGCGTTTCCACTGATTTACCAGGTACTGTTCCGTGAGTCACTTGTGCTTTTCCACTTAAAAAGGCCGGGCTGGTGTTAAGCGACCAATGCATTCACCAAAGCCAACACCTAGGCTTGCTGCTCCTGCCATCGCCGTGATTCGCACAACATCACCATCCTCAAGATACCCACGCTTTGAACCATCACTCAACATCACTGGTTTTGTGCCTCCTTCCGTTCTTTCAAGCAAACAGCCCCCGCTCAGACTATGTTCACCGCTAACTGTGCCTGTCGCCAAAATATCTCCAGTCCGAAGCGCACTGCCTGAGCTAACCGAATGCGCGATCATTTGCTGTGGGGTCCAATACAGGGACTGTAGGGGACAAACTCCAACAGTGGTTTTGTCTGAATTTGCGAGGATCTCAACAGTCATAAGGATATCGTAGGTTGATGGCTTGGACTGTTGAAGATATGTAGGCCCTAAGGCTTGTTGAGGAGCTTTACTGGCTCTGAAAGGCTCTAAGGCGTCGGGAGTGATGATCCATGGGGAGATGGAAGTGCCCAGGCTTTTGCCATTGAAAGGACCCAGTGGGTTCATCTCAAAGCCTTGGATATCACGAGCTACAAAGGTTAGTTGATATCTTCTCGTCAAAATTAGAAGCCTTTTGGGTTTGAACACTCACAGCTCCAGTCATTGAGAATCACGAATCCAAAGATATGATTGTCGGCATCATCGGCATGGAGCCTTTTCTTCATCGGCAATGGCTCCCCAATTACTGCTGCCAGCTCAACTTCGTAATCAACCTTCTGCGAGGGTCCAAAGATGATTGCTTCCTCACGTTGGTGATCAGTAGATTTATGGTTGCGAAAGTGCCCATACGGGCGCTCAATGTCAGTTCCTGAAACGACAATAGAGCTCGCGCGACCTTGATATCCGACAGGAAACTTGAAAAAGCTGGGGGGTGGGTTTACATTCCCAACCACCATGCGTCCCGCGTTGATGACGTGGTGAAGCGAGCATGAAAAGTCTAAAATGTCAGAAAATACACCTATCAACCGAAGTGCAGAAAGTACCTGTAAAATCCCTGATCGCAATGGGTAAGTGCATCGTAGTGGCATCCGCGTCTTCTTTGCTGGCAGAAGGAAATCCATCAAGGCCGTGGTGGCGATACACCTCTTGAATCTTTTCCCGTACATATCGATGCTCGCCCTTGGGGAGAGCTGCAAAGCTGTTCAAAGATGGCTGATTGAAGACATTCCCTGGAATTTTCTTGGATTCCTTGAACAGTCCGTGGACGTCCAAGTCATGCAAAAACAATATTGTGTTTCCCAACCTAGAAACAGCTTGTGGTTTCTCATGGTTCTGCGACGATGCAATGCCGAAAGGAATGTTCCTATGGGAAAAGTGATGACTATAGTTTGCAGTGGTCATCATTACGATGTCAGACTTGAGACTCGAGTCTTGATGTTCAGGAATTCAATATGGTAGTTCAGATGGTTTAGAAAAGCACTCCCAGGGTTCAAAGTATGTTTGACCTCTTGAAAGCCTTTCAGGACCTCGGGACATTTAAGTCCCCTACATACCCCAATTTCGTTCAGTACAGATGTCGGAAGCAGTGGGGATGACGGAGAGAGCGTCAAGTGGCGGGTCGAACAACCGAGAAATGGGGCGGGTTGGAGCAGTATGAGGCTCCCCACATCCCGATCGGTAAGTGAATTATAAAGTCAAGTTTTCGACTCAGTCAGTGACCAAAAGCAGTCATTTCACAGTACAACACTTATTGTCTTACGTACTCTTCTACCATGGCGCTCAACGGCAACCTCAGGCGACCACAACGCTACATCACCTCCCACAACAATGAGGGCCAAGCTACCATTGACACGACAATTGAGCCAGCCGCCCCCTTCTATGAGCTCCCGGACAAGGTCGCCCAATTTGCACTGGGCTATGTCACCAAAGAGTTCCCAGCAAAACTTACTGATGAGGCCGACGTGAAGTCTTATCAGGAGTTTCTCGCCAGTCCACCAGGACTGACTGTCTCAACGGGCAGTGTCCTGCGTTACGTGGACATGCCCCCTGGACAGTTGTCCCCTATGCACCGTACCATCAGCCTTGACTATGGCGTTGTACTAGAAGGCGAGGTGGAACTTGTTCTGGATTCAGGAGAAACAAGGGTCTTGAAGAGGGGCGATGTTGCTGTGCAAAGGGCCACTATGCATGCGTGGAGGAACACTAGTGATGCGGAGTGGGCTAGGATGCTTTATGTTCTCCTTCCCTCGACAGCACCAAATGTGGGAGAGAAGCAGCTAGGAGAAGAATATGGTGATATGCAGGGGGTCAAGTCATCGGAATAGATAGACTTTACTGAACAGGTAAAGCTTATACATATGTATAGTATTGATTCTCCTTTCTGAGTGATGCTTTACAAATGACGAAAAATCCTCTCTTTACTATGATACCTTTTTGCTACAATAACTCATATAAAAAGAAGCCGAATACTCTACTGAGCGGCCTATAGGGAGGCACCCGACGATGTGGTACATCAAACTCAGGGAAGAGCTCGCTGAGAATGGGTGAGATTCGGCTGGTGTCCCACGGCGGTGAGGGCGATGAATCTCATAGTCCCCCAAGAATGCGCTGTGGAAGTTTCCGTCTGGGAGTCTGAGTTGTGGTGACGGTGGATATGATAAAAATTACGTTATTCTACGGACGCGCAGTGAGCTTCAGGATGGATGTCAAGTGGTGATAATGAGGGAAATTCACGTCCAAGGACTGTCAGAATTATCGGCAAGAAGCAACCCGTTTCGTTCCGGTCACTAGTCGACCCAGCTAATTCCGGAGGGTGGACCGAGTCATCTGGGGGAATGCAAGGGAGGACTACACTCAGGATGTGGAGGGTTTCGCGAGGCCGCATCCGGACCGATGGACAATCCGTGGAAGCAGGGTCTACGACATCACCTGCATGATATCTACAGGCTGAACAAAGCCATATGGTTAAATCCAAATCTTCCGAGGAAAGAAAGCGTAACTCAATGCCGGAAGGTCGATTTTCTATTACAGACCTCGGGAACTAGAAGAGAACACCTCGAAATAAAATTCGGGTCTATCGTTATCCCCCGCTACATCATGAGGACGAGTATATACTGTCAAACGCTCATATTTTTCATTTTTTATTCTTTGTCGGTTCACCCTGACAGTAAAGTGACCTCATTAAGGCGCAATCGGAGCGAAGTTGCTGTCCCTGCTAGGTTGGGTTCTGAGATGACAAAGGATATTTTGATGGAGATGGATAACCCGTTTTTGGTTGCGTCGAATGGTCACTGCTGCACCATCAAGCTGGAGAGGTAATCATCAAACAGATAGCCACCAGCCTCAGCAATCGAAGTACTGTATTCATCCCGAGTGGGTATATATCAAGCAGCTACTTTGCTCTTCGCCGAGTTCTCAAGCTCAGCCATTAGTTGAACCAGTCTCTCTGTAAGATGTGGAATGGGCAATCCTGAAAAATTTGTTCGTACAATTCCCATGACAGCCTCCATGACCTTATCTGGTTGTGATAGCGGTACGCTGATTACCACATCATCTTGACCGGGTACCTCCGAACGCCATCCTATACACGGTTGACCTTGCCCGAACCCTTTGAACCTTTGTAAGGCAATGCTGTCCGTGTCATCAATACACACATTCTGACTGGGCGCTCTGGATATCCCTGGAGACTGGTTGGAGAGCAGTCCATAGACCCAGAATGCTAAGCTAGCGTGGTAAAGCATAATTGCTAGAGGGCTGCGTATAACCCCCTTCGGCAATCGCTTGGCAATTCGAACGATCTGGGCTGCGTGGCAAATTGCGTGTCTCGCTGCTTCACTCTTGACCCAGTCGCGGATCATTGGGTAGACAGCACGGGCGCGTTCCGGGCCTTCCATACCCGCAAATAGCTGGATATCCTCAAATGGCATTTGTAAATGCAACAGGGTTAACTCCAGCCGCATCAGTATTTCTGGATCCGCCAATTCATCAGATGGCAAGCTGAGTTTGAGATGACCTAGCAATTTCAGAAGCTCGTCCTTCCTCATCTCTGTAACAAGCACGTTCCACCGGCGCGGTCGCGATCTCTGCAGAGAGGAGAGCTGGAGATACTCGCAACACATGGCCCACGTGCATGCAAGCACACCGTGAATCGCAACGTATATATCCAGCGACCCCGCACGATTATTGAGAATGCCGGGATCGTCGATAATATCTGCGACGTAAAGGGGCTCGCCGGGGTCTTGTACGGTGATGAACGAGCTCCATTGTTCGGGAGATGCCGCTGTCCAGAGATCTGTATTTCCCGGAAGTGGTAAGAGAACTTCTGCATAGGATATTGATGGAATGACCAGAAGGGCCATGGAGGAGTTTGCGTCGTGAGAGAGCATCCTGAAGACGAGCCGCTTGAAAGACTCATCTTCCACCCACTTGAGCCATTTGTCTCGCGAAACTATGGCCTGAGTATTTGTATTTCCAGAATTGGTGTCGGGATACGCTGACCGTTTGAACTTTCCATCGCGTCGCATCATGGTGAGCACGGGATGGAAGAAGCTCTCAGCGATCTCAACCTTGCGGGGGAGTCCGCTCCAGATACCCATCTCAAGAATAATCAGAAAAGCCTGAGAGAGCTCAAGATCTCGAACAAGTGTGTTATCGCGTTCCCACTGCAGAATTAATCAGTCAACTGAAAACATACACGATTCGATGCAAAACATACCCGCTTCGATATTGCGATCCGTAAACATTCTTGTATAGCATAGCCAAGTTTAGATAGTGCAGGGTCAGATGTCAACACTGCTCCACATACCGCCATGGCAGCTACCAGCTCTGGTCTTTTCTCGTTGGGATCGAATGAAGCAGCATGCAGGAATGATGTTGCATGCGTCACAGGTGAGGTCAAGTAGTACTGTAACAGCGTATCCAGTAGCCCAGCAGACGGAAAAGAAGCGACTGCCTTTGACAGATTATCCGAATGGCAGCTTTCAACAACCATCATCAGGATCCTGTCTCGGACAAGATTCCCTAGCTCTGCACACGTGACCCTTGTATCTAGGTTCAGTGCAACTCCAGACTCTGGGGAAGGATAGGCGGAGTTGGCTGCGGGAAGAGAGAGATTATGCTCCTCGGCTCCAGAATGATCCTTTGCATTAGGGCGGAACTTCCAGTGAGAATTTTGGAAGGCCTCAGTGCACATAGCGGCGGGCTGGCCGGGGTCCGTGTGCGACGCAGTGTGGGGTGTCTGCGCGCCTCTGGGGGTTGGATGGATACTGCTAACTTCGAATGGGATGCTGGTGTTATAGGCATCTAGGAACCTCAGATCCATGTCGTCAAGCGCATTGTAAGAGCTCATGTCAATGTCATTTGTGCTAGCCGAAGCCCAGTGTCCTGACAAGAGATTGAGATCTGGGAACTGGTAGAGACGATTAGCGTCGGCACCGAGGGATGGATCTTCATATTATCAGCCCAATAGCCATTGTGTCCTAAAAGTATACAGACCCACCAAGGTTATGCAGCGGGTTATGTGTAGTCTGAGGCGTAAGAATTTCCAACCCAGGCTGGTCACCGATGACTGCCGAGGTAGACGCTGCTCCCATCGTAGCCGTATCGACGAAATTGTCCATAACAGAAGAACCGTCATCTTGGGCGAAGATAGTGTCATCGGGTTGTTGACCAGATTCTGGAGATGGAAAGTTTGTATCTAGTTCCATGGAGTCGTTCCACTTGCACTCGATGCCTTTCCCTTGGCAGCGCCGGCATGGCTTTTCCTCGCTACACCGGAGATGATTGGATGAGCATTCTTTACACGCCTTTGTTACCCTTCCAGCTATGTACCGGGGCTGTTCGATGGAGCCTTCTGTAGCGTCCCCGGCTTGGGAGCTGTGTCCGGCAACGTGTCTCTTGAGCAGGTCCCTTTGAGCAGTCTTAGCCAGCGAGTAGTGAGTTACACTGATAAGCCTGGGTGTACCTACGGTCTTGTAAAGGCTTTTGGGCAGACGTGGCACTTGTAAGGCTTGGTTTGGGTGTCTAGGGAAGATGGTTGTGTAAGCAACATTTACTCCGTGGCACACCAAGTCCACGAGACAAGAGCCAGCCCTGTAGTGGGAGGAACATACGGGATCGCACGTGACGAGCTAGGTGATCCAGGCGCTTGTAGTTCTTCTTACAAGAGCCGCACTGGAACATACCAGATTGCGCCGTTGCCATATCAGCAGCTTGAAGCCCGCCCGAGGCAGCAAGCGGATAGGTCAAGCGATGGGCTGCTGATGATTGAGGGCTCGGAACGTGCAAAATAGGGAGAAGGAGAAGAGGAGCGGAAATGCTGCCATGGTCCGGGTCTTATTGCGGTGGCTTGGCTCACTTGGTTGCGGGGGTGGCGTCTGGGGCGCAGGACGAGTTGCGGTCGGGAAATTCTCCCCACATACCCGATGGGTTAGGGTTAGGTATTCCCTGTCTATAAGGCAAATCTATACTAGTTTCGTCCGGTCAAAGCGAGGATTCCCTACTTATTCTAGGTACCATAAGATAGCTAGGGGCATCAGCATTTATATCATCTATATCTGATTTTCATTTTTGATATCCGAGCTCCCTCATAAAAATGCATAAAATTTATGGAAGCCAGGCGGGTGAATTGTCGGGACCCACTTCCGTGACATTTTTCTGTCCTAATCGGGATAAACCGTGATACAAGGCCACGCATCAACGATACCACAACGTACACCGTTGAATAGATTGCTATGCAAAACGCTTAATATAAGCTTTTTTGGCGATTTTTTGCTCGTTTTTATCTCTATGTCCTAAGGGGGCTGAGCCCCCCAGATCCCCAAGCGGGAGGTTAAGCGATATTCCTATACAGTAAGTAGTTCACAGCTGTAAAACTCTACCTGATATCTATAGTTTAACAATAACGTAGCTATTCAGGGCTAATAAGCAGCTCCAAAATCCGGAGCGAGTGGGGTATAGCCATGCGCAGCTGTAAATCACGTAGGAGGACCTCGCGGCCGGGACTTGGATGTACCTGCCGGCAGAAACAGCTGACGAACGAAGCTGGTGCGGCCTCGAAAAAAAGGCTGAAGACAAGTTAGAACATTTTGACCACTTATAGGGATTACATAACCCCATATTTCAATTTCATCACTGAAGTAGCTAAGCTTCGCTTAGCAATTACCAATTAGACCTATATGTTCCAAGGTTCAATGTTGGATGAAGAGGGTGTCCTAATGGGAAACAACGATAGACCGGGAAGCCGCGGCTTTAATGTTGAAATATTCTGGCGTCCTGAGGTCTGAAAAATTGACTGGAGATAAACTTCTTGTTTCTAATTTAGCGACCTATTTCACGGTCCATTGAGAGGTATCTACTCAATCGGTGCAGCCCCCGAAGCGTCCGGCACCCCGTCCCCTTCCACCAATTTTGCCCCCACAATCTCGAACACGGGGACTTCTGCGAGCCGTGAAATGATGTGGTGGAGCGTCGGTAGTTGCTGCCAATCCAAACCATCGACTTCTATACTTGCCTTATTGGTCGTGTAAACCCTTCGTGGTCGTGGAGGCGGCACAGCTTTGGAGAAGGGGTCGAAGACGGTATATTCTTCCGCAGCAATATTCTTGTTAGCGCGGCCACTCTTGGGCAGGTACTTGTAGGTCAGAATTCCCGCATCGGCCTCTCCACTTAATGCACCCGTGGTAGTTGATGGGTCCACTTCTACCAAGTCTTCTAGTAAGAAGTTACCCCAGAGGGCCCCTTCCCACCCGGTGCGGATGCGGTAAGAACTGGAACGACGGTATACATCGATGGAGGTATAAAGTTTGGGCATTCCGAGTTCCTCCCGGCCTGAAATGATGGGGTCCGCCAAGGACTCGAAAAGGACGGGGAGGTAGGTGCCCTTAATTACCGAGCCATCGTCCTTGACATACTCAGCCCCGTGTATGTACAAGCCAATATGCTTGTATCCTGTCCCACCCAGCCACTCCATGTTGTCCAGCGTTGTCTGTGAGAAGGAGGCATATGCAACGCTATCTAGAGATGTGAACCGCCATCCTTTGCGACCAGGTGGGAACATATTCTGCAGGACGGTTCGCGAGGTCTTGAACTTGACTGACACCGTTATAAATGTCGAATTTGTGCCTTCGCGGGGTAAACCGAGATGGGTCTGTCGCGGTCCCGGCATTGGGCCAAAGGCGATAGGCATGCGCCAGTAGGGATCGGGGATCTGATTCCACGTCCACTCACGAAGCCATTGGGTCGAATTATCCCACTCGTCATGTCCGAAGTTAAAATTGGTAAAGCCGTATACTGTATTCATATGGTAAGGTTGGGTCATGCACAGTTATTCGCAATTGGGTGGCTTACTATCCAGCTGCTTGTCGTCCGTACGATCTTCGCCAATGGCACGCGAGAAACCTTGGATTCGTGTGGCTCGCTCGTGCCGGATATCATGGTAGAGCCTGAGTCGTTCAGGCACCTCGGTGGTTGAGATTCCTGGAGACAGCACTACCGCTAGCGAGATGGCATCTTCGATCGCGACTGCGCCGCCCTGGCCCTGGTGCGGCAGGAAAGGATGGGCCGCATCTCCGAGCAGAGCTAGACGGTGGTGATGCCACTGGGGGACGATGTCCATGTCCAGGAGCTTCCACACCTTGACGCTCTGGGGTTCGGCCTTGCCTAGGAGTCGAAGAATGGTCGGGTCGAATCCGTCAAAAATCTGCAACATCTTCTCCAGGTTGCCCTGTTGGCCCCAAGAGTTATCGGAATCGGCCGCTGACTCGTCGTCCGGATGGATCAATACGAAGTTCAGGACAGTATTGTCTGAAGTAGGATACATGATAATGCGCGAATCGTTGCCATACCAGATGCTGAGCTCACCGGGGTGCTGGACCAGCTTGGCCGTGATAGGATCATTTGCGGCTGCCTCCTTGGAGACCAAGAAACGAAATGCGCTTTTTCCCCGGCACTCCGCCTTAAGCTGGCCCCCAGGCACGGCATGCCGGGTGACCGAGTGCACTCCATCGGCACCCAACACCACATCGCCATGGAACTGGCTGCCATCCTCTAGCATGATACTTGCTGTGTCGGCGACGACCTGAGCAACACGAGAAGCTGTTCGAAGAGGGATTGCATCGCGGGTTTCCGTGGCAGTTGTGGCTATTCTTTTCAAGTTGCGGTGGAGATCAACTCGGTGCGCGAGAAGCCAGGGATGTTGCCACCTCTTATTCGCTTCCTTGAGGTTCATCTCTCGCTGCACTTCTCCCGTAGCGCTATACTCTGTGAGCTAGATAATCCTGTTAGCAACTAGTCCACGGCGTTCCACTGGCGAGCCAGGGCCTTACTCGTTCCATGGGGTTGGCACCAAACTGTTCTGCAAAAATTCCCAGGCGTCTAAGGAGGCCATTTGCGTTAGGGGCTAGGTGAATGGCTGCCCCGGTCTCCGTGGCCAGATGCGATTGCTCAAATATTTGAATGTCATGGCCCTGGTTGCGGAGTGCAATGGCTGCGGTCAACCCACCAATACCAGCACCAACTATCAAGATCTTTAGGGGCCTAGCCTCATCAGAAGCATGAGAGGTGGTACCCTCTGTGGCCGTCATTGTGTGAGGGCAACCCAGGCAGGGGAGGCGAGTGATTGGCGAGGAGATGTTCAACAATGCAAGATAGAGATAGAGAGCAGCTCCATGGTTTAAAAAATGGATGTCCCATACTTATAGTCTTGTATGACTCGTCGACGCCACATTCCTCCGGCGTAGAGTCCCGATATGTCGGGCTATCGGGACCACATCAGCTCAGGCCTCCGGAGGTTAAACCTCGCTCAGAACCCCGAACTCTGTGGAAACTGCAGCCTCGGGTAAATTTAATGCATTATTCATTTCACGGACTTCTGCGGGCGGCAGGCTGATGAAATAATGGATAGATCTTCACTGTAACTAATTAGTTATGGTGTTGTTACTGCCACGCCCCAAAGCCAGATTTTCTAGGCCGAGACTTAAGTGGAATTCCAAGGTTGTAAATGATAGCATACACCATCGTTTTCAAGAATTTACTGGGTGCTCTATGGCTGTATACATCTAGTTATCCAAATTCGAATCACCCTCCAGCAGTAATTTTAGCATGATTTTTATATCGCTGTCCCGGGCTCCGCCTGTGTCTCTTACTGCCTTCGCAACTACGTGCACAATCGTGGAATTTGCCTTATGATATTGGCTTGCAGCCGTATATCTAGTAGCTAATCTCGGGCTTCTTTCTGACGTGGCCAACAATTCCCCTGGGGAATCCTACACCTGCTGCCTCCTAATAAAGCTGAGAACTTGTTCTAAATTTCCTGTCCGGCTTTAATATGCGTTTCCTACACCAGGAGATACTGTATTCCATTAACCCGAGCCCCGCATAGTTGAGCCTTGGTGCAGCGGATTAGCCTTACAGTTAGGATTGCATTACCCATGGATACCTTGATCTATTGCATGTAGAGACTTGGGTAGACGACTGATATCCTACATGTGCCAGAGAACGTGATTTGGATTCTCTAGAAAGTAAATTCCTTTCATTCACTTCCTGCTTAGTACTCCACCGGTATTATGGTTGAACCCATACCTTTGCCTGCAACCTTGGAACAGGTTTATCTGATCGTGACTACTATATAGCGAAGCTGAGCACCAGTCCGTACTCACGATAGTCCACAGTAGTAACTTCTTTCTTTCATAATGACTTGTTCCTATACAATATAAATCGTTCATTTCGACGGCTTCACGTCATCCATGGCACCTCCGTAATTCTTATTTAAAGCTTTGCCCTTGATTTCCAATGGGTTTGCCTCTTTTTCCGGGGCAGTGGGGAGGAGGGGGGAAGCCCTGTCTTGTGATCGCGACAAGCGAGTGTTATTTTACTTGAGGGTAGACCCAATCATTAATAGGGTGTTCTACTTCAGACGGTCGAACTTGCCTATTGGTTTCATTGACTATCAAAACAAGGGCAAGAAAAATGGCAGATTCAGGATCGACAATCCCGGTCCCGCTAGTCACTAATGGGCGAAATTATATGTTATCTCCTCTGGCACATGCGAAGTCATTTGGGGGACTGTTGATCAGATGATATGCCTTATTTATTCACTGTTCGGGACACCCAAGCGCTTTATGTAGTCATTTTGCAGGTAGATAGAATACCACCTTCATCATCCTCTCCATTACCACGCACAGAGACGTTCCGGTGTCACTAATTGGTTCGCCGACGAGGCTGTAGCAACAGCAGTGAAGGCAAGCCCCTCCTGATATGCCATGAAGATTGCCTTGCGCCGGGCTATCTTCCAAAGTTCCTGCGAGCTGCCGACATCCTCAAGAACAGTATTGAAAATCATACCCACTGTCCCGAAGTGGTCCCGACGCCGGTCCACGGGTGGGGGAGATCGCACGTATGAGTGCGAAATATAAATAGAAAAAGGAGATTGTCGGAAATAAACCTTGGAAGTTGTAACTTTTCACTCTTACTTTTTTTGTTCTTTTTCCGCGCCAACAAACCTTGGAAACTGCGTCGCACAATGCCTAATGGCATTGGCAATATCCAGAAGGTGGACACTACCTCGTTCCCATACATCTTCGAGCAGAATGTCACCGTCCGACTCAAGGCGACTGGTGGCCTCATCCGCTGCAACATATATCGACCCAAGACCGAAGCGCGCGTCCCAGTGATCGTGACGTATGGACCTTACGGGAAGGACATTCACTACGAATTGTAACCTGCCAGAACTCTCCTCAGAAGCTGCTCATATATCAGCCATACTTGCTGACAACCTTGGTTAGATTTCATCCTTCATCCTTCGCGGAAGTCAACACGGAGCACCACTCGGCACATTCGGCGTGGGAGACACCTGACCCCGGATTCTGGACCCGCCATGGTTATGCCGTTGTGCGCGCCGACGAGCGAGGCCTTGGACAGTCGCCAGGCGTGCTGGATACCATGTCCCGCGGCACAAGTGAAGCTTTCTTCGACGTGATCGAATGGGCGGCCGAGCAGACGTGGTCCTCGGGAAAAGTTGGTCTGCTGGGCGTTAGGTGAGATTTCTCGGATCCAAAACTTTGTAGGTTCTGACCCCTAGGCAGCTACTATGGAGGGAGCCAGTGGCGTGTCGCTGCTCGGCAGCCCAAGGGCCTTGCGGCGATAATTCCCTGGGAAGGGATGTCAGATTACTACCGCGATCGCTGTCGTCAAGGTGGCATTCTATCTAATGGTTTCATCAAATTTTGGTGGGACCGTCAAGTCATCACCAACCAGTATGGTATCCCAGGACGTGCTGCACGTAACTGGGGACCCGATACCATTGAGGGCGATCTGTCCAAAGAGGAATTGGCTGCCAACCGTCGCGACCAAACGGAAGATAACGTGGCTCACAGGTTCCGCGATGACGTCTACTACGCGTCCAAAGAGTATAATATGGGTGATATTCAAGTGCCCGTGCTCAGCGTTGCCAATTGGGGCGGAATCTGTCTACATCTGCGCGGCAATGTGGAGGGCTGGATGTGGGCAGGGTCTCCCCTGAAATACTTGCGCTTCATTACTGGTCGGCACGATTTGCCTTTCTACTATCACGACGAGGTGGAGATCCAGCGCAGCTTTCTGGATGCTTTCCTCAAAGGTGAAGATCGTAAGGGCTGGAGTATTCCTGGCAAGCTGCCACCTGTCAGCCTTATTCTGCGCAAGGGGGACGTTGGCTTCAACGATGCAAAGGCCGAAAAAGCATACACCCGGCGCAGTGAGCACGAGTGGCCAATTTCCCGGACGCAATACACCCCTTTCTTCCTTCACCCCGACGGAAGATTAATCGGTAATGAGACCGCAATTAAGAGCTTGCCTGTGGCAAAGGTCTCTTACCCTGCTTTGGGCACCCTTGACAACCCGCAGCTGTTGCAGTTTGAGACTGAATCTTTTACGCAAGAGACAGAGATTACCGGTCACATTGTGGCACATCTGAATGTTTCGGTGACTCCGGATCCAGGCAGTGAGATCATCCCTTCCGACATTGATCTTTTTGTCACCCTGCGATACATCTCTCCAGCAGGCGAGGAGGTCCTTTATACGGGCACGGCCGGCGATCCTGTGCCCCTGACCAAGGGCTGGCTGCGTGTGAGCTTGCGGAAGACTGATCCTAATCACTACAAGCACCGAGCATGGCTGCCACATCGAAACTACGTGAGCACGGACGTGGAGCCAGTCATTGTGGGCGATATCTACGCTGTGGATGTGGAGATCTGGCCAACAAACGTCGTCGTGGAACAGGGAGGCAAAATCATTCTGGAAGTCGCCTCGGGTGATACGCAGGGATGCGGTATCTTCAAGCATGACTCCCCAATCGATCGGCAAGTATCCTATCAACCGAGAACGGAAACATATCCGCTAACAATTGGTAATAGGTCGACGGAGAAATTTCATGGGAACAATCACATCCATTTCGGACCTCAGTTTCAAAACTACGTCTCCTTGCCTGTCATTCCGCCGAAGGGTGGTGAGAATTGATTTGGCTTCAGACATTACCTTCGTATGCATCGCATCTACTACAACCACTATATATTGGCTGCTTTGCAGTAGTCAAGAGGGGTAGTCAAGAGGGCGTACGGCCGTTTCGTCAGTGATCTTGCGCGCAGGGGATACAACCATATCGACAAGTACGATTTCTTAGAGAACTACCAATCAAATAGTCCTTCCATGCCACGTTCGATTCTGGTGTAATTAATATTGGAGCCGAACACTTCACTGTCAGAAAGCGTCAGTATTGCCCCGTTATCATTAATGAGATGGGGCCAGTCTGAAGTAAACCTGTAAGAGCAATAAATCCGTCAAACTGCTATAGAAACTACTTGGCTCATAAATTGGTCGGGACTTAAATGCTCATTCGGTTTTGATCTAGTGTTTACTCAGAAAAAGCCGTCTTTTGTCCAAATCCGAACGCCGAATTATTGTACAGTACAATTAGAATGGGAAGGAAGGTTGATGACGATCTGAGGTATGAACTGATTCAACAGCGCCTAACGCTCATCATCCATAAACTCTTGTGGCTCTTTTCTCAATCTGTTGATTCTCACTTTCCTGAGGACCAGAGACTCAAGGTTGTTGATTAAACAGTTGTCTCAGAAATGGGAGGTTTAGAAAAAATTATAATTTCAATTAATTATTGTATTTTTAAAGAAGTAGGCTTATTTTGATGGACGATGGGGGCCATCAAAAAGAGGAGGGTTGCACGTGATGGGACTAGCGTGTTGCATTTTATTGATGTAGCTTACTCAGGCGGCTTACCCCTAGGCTCAGCTCAGGCTCAGTGAGCGAATCAGGGCGCTCAGATCATGATCAGTGAGCGGATCAGAGCGGGGCTACCAGCCCGGGGGTACTCGAAAAAAAAGCTCCGGGATACCCGCCAAGCCTGCTTATATCATCGTCTAATATTGAGTACGTCCTAGGTCGTGGACCTTAGGGATACCTAAATTCATTTGATTATATAACCATAGTCTTCTTTTTCTAATTTTTAATTTTCCGTCTGACTTTTATTTACCCTCTTTACCCTCTATAATCAGGTGACTCCGTAAGAGTATTTTTTTCTAAGGTTAATACCTTTTACTACCGCCTTCCTAATTAATTATACCGCCTCCTTTATTTTATACTAGCAGAACCTACTCCGTATAATATAGAGTATTAATACTTTTATATATAATATAACTATATAATAGAGCTAATACTACCTTAATAAAGGCTACTAAAGAACCTAACGAGGGTTATTTTTATAATATAGAAGGAGCTTTAATTAAAGGAAGATAGTAGTATATAGGGCCCCTATAGTCCTAGGGGCGGACCCCCGAACGAACGCCGGAGCGGGGGCGTCCCTAGGGTAGAGAAAACCGAAACGTTTATACTACTATAACGTACGGTCGGAAAATACTAAAAATTAGTAGAGTATAAATAGACAATTTAATAAAGATATATACGAGATTTAAAGCCGATCGAATAGACGTAGAGGGAGAAAAGCGAAAAAAGGAAAAGGTTAAACGGTTTGATAGGGTAGAAGTATAAAGAAATATATAACTAGTTAGTTATATATTTTAGTATATATACTCGGCGTTTACAAAAATTCTAGTATAGGTTATGCTAGAAGATACTAATATTATACGAAACATATTATAACCTAGAATTGATATAGAAATAATGTTAAAAAGTGAGTAAATAAAAGATATTTTATAGTATTTGGGATATGTATAGATATACTAAGTAGTTGTGGTGTATTTTAGTGTGGTATGGGGCTACGCTAAGGGTTGGTATGATTGGACTAAATGTATTTTATATAATCAAATGAATTTGGGTATCCCTGAGGTCCACGACCTAGGACGTACTCAATATTAGACGATGATATAAGCAGGCTTGGCGGGTATCCCGGAGCTTTTTTTTCGAGTACCCCCGGGCTGGAACCCGATCAGAGCGCTCAGCTGACGATCAGAGCATGCTTAGTGAGCAGGTCAGTGTGCTTATGTAATGCTCAGTGAGCGGGTCACGGCGCTCAGGGGCGTGCTCAGATCTACTCAGTGAGCAAAAAGCGGCAAGGTCTGAGCACTAACACGGAAAGAGAACGCCAAGAAGTGGCAGAGGTTATCTGGTATGTAGGTATGTTATAAGAAAGTCTGTTTTAGGAAGTATGGATTTGGAACAACTGTTGAACCTCTTACATTTCATCGCTTCATATTGATATCTTCACTTTCGAATCTCTCGCCTGTAGATTTGTGAAAGAATCAGTAGCAATGTACTGTCATCCCAGAATTAATCACCTCAACTGCCGCTCCTCACAATTCAACCACATCTCCTACCACCAAGAATCTGACAGAACGACTTTTGCCCTGCACCCACTGGAGCACAGAACCCGTCCTCACTTTTCCTTGGTATCCTCCAGAGGACTGACTTGTAAACAGCCTCTCTCTGATACTCGTTGTATGCGCCGGATCCTTGCATGATGTATTCTGAATGTATCTGCAACCATCGACTGGACATCCGCTCAACCATTTGATCTGCCTCTCGCTTCTTTTGATCATGGGGGGTTGGTTCGGGACGGCCGTATCCAAACCCCTCTAGGGTCACCTGTCGGCGGGCATGTTCCTCAGCTAGGGCGCGTTTTTCAGAATCATCTATCCAATGCGTATTGTCACCCCTGGATATATGCAACTTGTAATGTAGATCGTAATAGTCCAGACGACCCACAATGAAGTGTGCTCGCTTCATCTCCTGCTCTGGTGAAAGTGCTAGCAGGCGTGATCGTCAGCGATGTGCTCGTCCACTGTGGATAGGAGTATGTCAAGCTGCTGGCGCATCGCATCGCCTCAGACTCGGACAGAGCCGCTCCTTCGTTTGAAAGCTCGGAGGTTTCCCCTCTCCCCTGGTTGCAGCTGGGTCTATAGGACATGCACCGCTACCCCTAGGCGGCAAAATGGCAGTTTGCACAGTCCCCATAAAGTTATCGTATTAGACTTAATGTAACCATCAAACCAGTGCCTGATATATATATCCCTTGCCATTTGTCAATCATCGGTGATTGAACTAATTTTCGAATAGACAATCTTAATTTAATATGCATGTACATCGTACGTATAACATAGTTACGTAGGTATATTTAAGATATCAACTGAAGCTGAAAAGCGAAGTTGTACATAAAACACGTGGGGCGACGTCATCGGCTTATAGGATCACGGGTGACAGTCACCGCTCTGCCTGACCAAGTTCTTGAACCACCTTCTTGTAAAAATCATCATAACCTCCATGCAGGTGTTTCCGACATAAAGTATTGTGGATCGTAACAGTCCGGCCCCCAATGACCGTCAATACATCCCGCGTTTAGCCTCCATTTTAGGGGGTGGAGATCAATACCAGCTCAAACACAAGGGGGCCTAGCTCCGTACAAATATCCGAATGGCGGGCCCGATCCACACCTACGGTCCGAGTTGCCTGCTTGTGGATGAAGAGCAGGACCTCACCAGATTTCAATCGCTTCCATCACCACCAGAGATCCGGTCACAGTTCTTCTATATTTCATCATTGCCGATCGATGATCCACTGGCTCCTTTGCCTCCACCTGCAAGCCAGGGGATAGGGAATGAGAGACTACCTCCCACGCCATTCTCGGCCAGGGATAACATCGCCTTAGAGGAAGCTTGGCATGATTTACGGGAAGCGAGAAAGACCAAATTGGCGGGTAATCACAGATCCAGGCCAAATACATCGACGGAGTCCCCTGGGATAGCTGTGCCCGGTCATGAATCGGTCTCGAATGTCGAACGGCGCATGCCAGCCAACCAAGAGGGTCCCTCATTGGTTGACAGTAGAGGAAGCACTCTGAGCAATTTTCAATCGTCTCCGGACGACCTACCCTCTCGCAGTCACAAGAGTCACATCGCTTTTGCTACCGGCAGTGCTGAAATACGAACCCATGGCCTCGGCAAGGAAAATCGCGTAGGCTCCCCACTGGGTGATGGGTCCAAACACGACACCCCGAGAGGAATTGCCATCGATCGGAAAAGAGCGCGTTCGTCTTCAGTCAATGAATCCAGTGCAGCCAAAAGAAGAAGCAGTTCTCCATCCGAGGCCGAGAACGTGGGTGAAGGCGGCGAGAAGATTGGAAGTCTGCGAGCTGATCAGTCTCACTATGCAAGTATGAGTGGCTCTCCTTTTATACGCGCGCCGATATCTCAGCCTCAGACGCCGCTTGGTCGCTCATTTGAGTCGTCTTCGTCAAGAGAAGGAGGCGAATGGCAGGCAGAACTCCGAACAAGTACTGCTCCTCGAAGTGCCCCGAAACCTTCAGGCCTCAGAACGACTGTAAGCATAGATCAATTGACCCAGGACTCGCAGAGGGAGAAAACAGAGGCAAACGCACAATCAAAGATTCCAGTCGGCGTTTCACGCCTTCATCTAGTCGAGCTACCGAATCTCAAGGTGAATACACTTTCTACTCGACTCTGAATTGTAATAACTCATTTTATAGATGAAACCTATCTACTGGAGCCCTCTCCAGGACATATCAAGTGTGGTCCGAGCTATTTGGTTCTACAAGAATACCATGTTACCCGTTGAGACTGAGCTTGCGAACAAATTAGAAGAAGGCTACGTTTACTTGAAGCCATGGAGCGACACTTGGCAAGATGAACTGAATAGTTGCGTGGAAAATGGGGCTGATGCCGAGTTAAAAATTGTCCACCCATTATGGACAAAACAAGACAGTCAGCCTACAACTGCACAAGCGCCAGAGAGTAGTGATTCGCCTCTGGATGAGGCGGAGGATCCCTTGAGATTCGACGAAAATCGAGCTGCTGGTGGCACCTCTGTCCAATCTGAGAGTATCAAGTCATACCTCACATCTAGTGCCATTTACGTCGATGCAATAAATGCTCAAGTACTTCGGCCCAGCTTACTTCCCTCAGTGTCAAGGGGACGACGACCTCTTGGTGCCATAAGGAAAGGCCGCCAGATAGGAATACCTGTGGTTCGTGGGTTTAGTCGAAAATTGTGGGAAAAACTGCACCCATCAAAACCCAATCCTATCGATGTACGCCATTACATCCGCAAAACCCAGTCGAAAAGTCCTTCTGCGCGAGGTGAACAAATATGCTATGCATGCAAGATGGAAGAGTCGCGACCACCTCCAACGGACTTGGTTCTCGTTGTGCACGGCATCGGGCAAAAATTATCGGAGAGGATGGAAAGCTTCCATTTCACTCACGCCATCAATGCATTTCGGCGCGAGGTGAACATGGAGCTCAATAACGAACCTGTCTGGCCACATGTGCGCCAGGATCATGGGGGTATCATGGTTCTCCCTGTGAATTGGCGTACGAATTTGTCGTTGGATGACCCCGATATTGAGTCTGGTATCAAAGACCCAACTAGCAACGATTTTTCTCTTGCCGATATTACGCCCCAGACTCTTCCCGCTATCCGATCCCTGATCAGCGATGTGATGCTTGATATCCCTTACTATCTGTCACACCACAAGCCGAAGATGGTCAAGGCGGTGGTTAGAGAAGCGAACCGTGTGTATCGCCTCTGGTGTAAAAACAACCCAGGGTTCCAAGACCACGGCCGTGTACATCTCATCGCTCATTCTCTCGGAAGCGTGATGGCTGTAGACATTCTCAGCCACCAACCAACACATGTTCCTCGATTTGACTTCTCTAATACGGCATTACACAGCGACATTTTCGAGTTTGATACTAGACATCTATTCCTATGCGGAAGTCCAGTCGGCTTCTTTTTGCTTCTCAATAAGGGTACGTTTGAACCCTACATCATTAGGCCTTGCATCTAACATTCTCGCAGCTAGTCTTCTTCCCCGAAAAGGCCGGGAGAAGCCGGGCAGCGAAGGTGACGATCTACTTCGCGGCGTTGCCGGTGAAGAGGGTCAATATGGCTGTCTCGCTGTAGATAATCTCTACAATATCATGCACACAACTGATCGTAAGCAGATTGCATCACCTCCCCAGCCGGTTGTCACATCCTATTTAACCCCTATACTAACAATCCCTACCAGCAATTGCGTACCGAGTCAATGCAACGGTAGACTCAGACCTCTCCAACTCCCTCAAAATGGGCTCTATCCCCAGCTCCAGCTCCAGCTTTTGGCAATCCTTCGGAAGTGTCTTCCGCTGGAGCTCAACCCCGTCAGCATTCTTGCCCTCGACAGCCCCTACCCGCCCCGCAGCAGTCTCCAAGCTCCCATCCAATGTCGAACTTGAGACCCATGACTTCACTCGCGAAGAGATCGCCGAAAAACGAATGCTTCTGTTGAACGACAACGGTCAAATTGATTATTATCTCTCGGGTGGCGGCGGCCCGTTGAATATTCAGTACCTCAACATGCTGAGCGCGCATAGCAGTTATTGGACACTGGGTGACTTTGTGCGGTTCTTGGTTGTGGAGATTGCGAGAAAGCAGGGGAGAGAAGGGACGCTGCTTGCTTTCCGGGCTGAGAAGAAGAAGGGATGGAAACACTCAAAGGGATGATTTTATTTTGGGGTTATCTATGTACCTTGCCATATCTTCGATGTTGGTTTAGTTCTCTGTCCAGGTGCAGATAGAATAGGTGCCTATGGTACCTTGCGTGGTTTTAATATTCGCATACGAACATACACCTTGACTCTCGTCCCATGTAAAAAGCAACAATGTATTTGGATTCTCATCAAAATGGAGGCTTGCAGATGTTGGCCGTGTATTGTCCGTGCAGAAAAAGGATCGAAAAGATGTGAAGACAAGATTAGAATGCAAGAAATATACAAAGCTCAGAGACAGGCAGATAAAAAAAACCAAAATACAAGCAGTTTTCAGGCGATTCAGTTCTCCGTCTGGTAATAAATCATATATCGTGTCACGTCTCTAGCAAATTACCCGAGTGTCGGAGCCATGAACATCACCCATCAACAAAGCCTCCACAATCTCACCCTTGATACCAACTCCTCGTCCAGCCCGCAGCACCACCAAAGCATTTGCTTTGGCCAAACTGCCGACCTTCGAAGACCGCTGTCCGGCACCCTCAACCCCAGTGCTCGTCGCGTACAACCGGCCATCCGAGCGCGACGCTGTCACCACAGCACGATGGTACTCTGTGCGCTTGGGATCAAGCGGGAAGTGATGCGTCAGGACGACAGCGACGCGCGGGAGACCAAGCTGCGGTGCGAGCCAAGGCTTAGAGCTAATTGCCTGGGAGCTGTAGCCCAGGCCGGTGAGCTTGTGCAGTGAGGGGAGAACAAACAGGTTGAGAGTGACGAGGGCAGAGGCCGGGTTTCCGGGGAGCGAGAAGATGAGTTTTGATTGGCGCTCCTGCTGGGAGGATGTGGTGTCGCCAGTTGGTTTGAAAGGGACGGTTGCGAAGGTGGTTGGTTTGCCTGGTTTCATGGAAACGCGGCCGAAGTGGATGGTGCCGCCGAGTGAGCGCTCGATTGTCGGCTTGAGGAGGTCGAGTTCGCCCATTGAGACGCCACCGGTTGTGATTATCACGTCGACGCTGGTGGAGGCTCGGCCTACGCCGCGGAGAGAGTCGCGGAGAGCGTGCTCGAGCTCGCTGGCAGGTGTGTCGCGAGCGATGCCGAGGTCGACTATTTCGAAGCCCCATGAATTCAGGCATGAGAGAAGAGATGGGCGGTTGGAGTCACGGATTTGGCCGCCTGTCAGAGTTCGCGGGTCATTGTGCTCGACGAGCTCGTCGCCGGTGCTCAAAACACCTACGCGTGGTTTCC